TGAATAATGAATTTATGTAGTATGTACCCTTAAATTAAAAATTTCCTTGAATAATTACTCTTGTCGGCTAACTTTGAAATTTTTTTTCTTTTATTAATTTTTTGCACTTCAATCCTTTATAAGAAAATTATTCACTAGAAGAAAAATAAGTTCAACCATATAATGCGAGTGTGAATATTTTACTTTGCTCATCCTTCCCCTCCCCACTTTACAGGCATTTACACCCTCCATGTAATGGCTGTTCTTTCTTCTTTTCTTTTTTTCTTTTTTTTTTTTTCGAACATGAGAAATTAAATTTTTTTTTTAAGTTGTTAATAAAAGATAAATTCTCAACTAATTAAACCCAAATACTAAAATTTATGAATAATTTATTAGGTCTAAAGGCTCGGTTCCTCTATGCAATGGCTATTTATTCCTCACTTCCCCATGCATTTTTATATTCTATAATGATAATTCGGGTCACTTTTTAGTGTCCATAAAAACAAAATCTTTGTTTGGTGACTGATTAATTCTTGTAACTCTAGTCATTCACTTGGCCCAAATGAGAAGCAGAAACATTAGAAGACTCTCTCTTTGTCGTAATATCTTATCTCTCAAATACATTATCTTGTACTTAATTAGCTATTTATTTTACAACACATTAATAGCACAATTTATCTCTACAATCCAATTCCAAGTGAGACTTAAGAAAAGATTTTGAGATCAAACTCTGTTATTCATTTTTTATTTTTTAATTTGAATATGCTTTCATGATTCTCCATGTCAAGATTTAATTACATATAAATCTTATACATTATACTTATATAAAATTTTAATCATTTATCTAATTCCTTTCAATTGTTTATTTACTTTTTATTATATTTATTAAAGATAATTATTTTTTCATTTAAAAAATTATAATAAATTTCAACCATTGAAAGTGAAAAGATGAATAATTATAATTTTGTGTAAATGAAATGTCATATTTATATATAAATAAATCCTTATTTATATTAATTTTTTATCTTGAATTACATAATGAGAGATGATAAATTCTCATCCCTTAATTTATTTCATCTATATATGATACGGTTTAAATTCAGAATGTTTTATCTTAATAAAAAGAAAATTACTGTTGAGCTACTTAATCATTGGTTATATTAATAATTATGGAGTTTTTATAATTTATTTTAATAGTAAATCTCATAAAACTTGAGCGGGTTGCCATGGGCTCCCCTTATTCTCATGAAGTGTTGATGTTGAAATTTACTTGACTACAATAAATCTCGGGGATTCGATTATAGATTGGAATAAAGCGTTGCTTCAAAAAAGAAAACATCATTGGAGGAAATAAAAGCATCTATGCTATAAAACAATTGCTGCATGATTGTGCTGAAGTAATAATATTTGTTTGTTATCAAGTCCATAAAGGTTACAGTTCAAAAAAAAAAAAAAAAGTCCATAAAGGTTAGAATATAAATATTTAATGATAAATGACACATTAAAATCTCGAAATAATTTTAAAAAATGTATAATGACCCAACATCAATAATTCTTTCCTTTCAAAGCATGATTTTACTGAATTGATTTATAAAGAGATGCCGGAGAAACGCGTTAACCGCCTTTTTGGGTGAGAAGAGATTTGAAGCACTGATGAGCATTCTTTAAGTGATCTTAACCTTTATTGTTCTCTGTAAAATATTTGATCTTTGAGAGATCATGATCTCTCAGTGTTTTTTTTTTTTTTAAAAAAAAAAAAATCAGCCAAAAAAGAGTTACATATATTATTTTGACTGCAGAAAGGTACTTTGAGGTTGCATTTGGTTTGATTATTAGAATCAACTAAATATTATAATTATTAGTTAATATATAATAAAAATTTAATTTCAATTTAAAATAAATTTATAAATTAATATTTTTAAATATTTTAATTAATTATTTTAAAAAATTATAAATTATTAAAGTTAACTAAACCAAACACACTTTTTTTATTTTTTATTTTTGACAACAGCACACACTTCAACTAAGTACATCCATAAAAACAGTTTTATTATTTTAATATTAAAGATCATTGTTCAATAAATAAACTCGTACGTAATATGATAAGGTCGTGGAATCATTTCTTTTCTTACAATCAAGGCAAACCATAGAAGTGCAAAAATGAGTATAATTTATATCTTATGTCTCCTTTAGATTAACTATTCAAAAGTAACTAATAATTGA